CACAAGCAGGGGGAGTGGGAGAGGGAGAAGCAGGCTTCCCGCGGAGCAGGGAGCCCGATGCGGGGCTCGATCCCAGGACCCTGGGATCATGACCCGAGCTGAAGGCAGACGCTTAACGACTGAGCCACCCAGGCGCCCCGAGAATGGGGATACTTTGGAGGAGCTTCTGAGAGAGCCTAGCGTAGAGTAGGGACGCACAAAGGACCGCTCAGCAGCGCTGGGTGTATCAGTGTTGTTGGTGCCGTTCCAGATGAACTGTGATCTGCAGAGTCTGCTAGCAGTGTTCATCAGCCCAGGTGCAAGGAGAGAGATGACACAGCTGAATTGACCAGGAATTGGAAGGAGAGGGAAACAAGAATAGGAACAGTAGTAATAGAGATGGCAGTAATAGTAGATATCGGGCAAAGCTATAGACTGTGGGGTCTAGGTGAAGGAGAGAAGGCAAAGTAGAACTCGTACATGCGAAGAAAATGGAGTGGTCAGCGCTCACTGATGAGGTTGAAGGGTCACTGCAGAGGCTAGTTAGAGAGCTGGAAGACAGGAAGTGTTTGTTGGTGAACAGGATATGGCAATTTAAGAATCAGAGCATTTGAAGGCAGTGGCAGCTTTGAGGATGGAGTCATGGGAGTGGGAAACTAAAAATAGAGTGGGGTGAGTATCTTGGATGTATATAGAGAGAGAAGATCAAAATCTTCCTGTGTGAGCAAAGGCCAGGAGCCACAGTGTTTGTAGAATGTGGTGCTTGGAACACGGTAGCTGGCATGTGACATAAATAGGGGGGGGTTCATGAGAGAGAAAGCTGGGAGGTGGGAACCTTAGACGTTGGACTCAGGAACTTAGATTTTAACTACCCAGGCAGTGGAGAGCTGGTGGAGGTTTCTGATAGTGACTTTAAAAGAAAACTCTTAGGCAAATAGTCCAGCAGAGGTTTATAGATAGGCTGGAAGGGAGAGGAGACTGAGAAGAATGTGTCTTGATATCTTATTTTCTGGCAGCCATCTTTCTGGGTTCCTTCCGCATGGCCTATCAAGAGATTAAGAATGTCATCCTGGAGGTGAATGAGAGTGTTCTGACTGAGTCTATGATCCAGGTAAGGAGCAAGATTGTCTGTGGCAGCTGGCTCTTTGCGCCACGGTGCACTGGCCTCATCTATTTGGAGGGTGAGGTCCTCTAGATTGGTGCTTTACAGAATGCTGGCTTTGGGTCAGCATCCATCTCTCCGGTGGTTAGATTATTTCTGGTATATTTTTCAAAAGTCCTGCCATCTCGCTAGCTGCCCCAACCCGCAGCCCCTGTTTCCTTCTTTGTGGTCCTTGGGCAGAGTGGGGGACTGACAGGAGGCTCAAGCTATCAGCTCATGAGACCGTCCCTTCTCTCTTTCAGAACCTCATTAAGCAGATGCCAGAGCCAGAGCAGTTAAAAATGCTCTCCGAACTGAAGGATGAATATGATGATCTGGCCGAGTCGGAACAGTTTGGTGTGGTGGTGAGTGAGGCCTGTGGCAAGAAGCTCTTCTTGGACCCCCTTGCTGCCCTCCTCCCCTGAAGCAGCTGGGGCGCTTGCTCCTCGCCTCTCGTCTAGTCTGAACCTCTCTTCCTTTCTCTTCCATACTCTGGAACTCACGGCCTCCCATGCGAGGCTCAAGCCTGTATGTTTTTTCTGACCTGCTCTACCTGTTGGCCATCCTGGAACTGCTTGTCTTCCCCACCAGATGGGCACTGTGCCCCGCCTGCGGCCTCGCCTCAACGCCATCCTCTTCAAGCTACAGTTCAGTGAGCAAGTGGAGAATATTAAGCCAGAGATCGTTTCTGTGACTGCCGCGTGTGAGGAGTTACGGAAGAGTGAGAGCTTCTCTAGCCTCCTGGAGATTACCTTGCTTGTCGGAAACTATATGAATGCTGGCTCCAGGAATGCTGGTGCTTTCGGCTTCAACATCAGCTTCCTCTGTAAGGTGAGCCAGCTGGTTAGAGCAGAACAACAGAAGGGAAGGCCGCTGGCCTCTGTGGGCACCGTATGGGGCAAACTGCTGTTGGCCTCAGGGCATCTTGAGCGTGTCAGGACTAACACGGTTCTCCTCTTACCCCAAGCTTCGAGATACCAAGTCCACAGATCAGAAGATGACGTTGTTGCACTTCTTGGCTGAGTTGTGTGAGAATGACTATCCTGATGTCCTGAAGTTTCCAGATGAGCTTGCCCATGTGGAGAAAGCCAGCCGAGGTGGGGCAGGTTGAGGTGAAACTAGAAGGCTGTTCCAGGCCCCCAAAATCTCTGCATTGGGACGGAAATAAGACAGGGTCTAGGTCTTAGTTTTCAGTTCTGCCTATTTTAGGTGGGAACGGGGAAGGGTGTAGGCATGATGTCTAGGCCACAGGGGAGGGGATTATCAGGCAGAAGGGAGGACTTCGTGTACAGAAGTGAGAAGCATTCTTTCCTTCCTAGGGAGACACCAAACACTAAAAAACAACTGGAAGAGAAGCAGGTGTTTTTAGTCTAGGTTAGCGGTTCTTTTTATTCAGAAAGCATGGACTAGATTGACAAAAATCAGGCCTTACCATCCTGGAACGAGGCACAGAAAAAGCTGCATTCAGTAGAAACGGGAACAGATTTCTGCCCTTCCTCTGTATTTCTATGTATAGCTCCTTCCTCCCAAACTCTGTTCTCTAAAATAAATGAGACCAAGATCCCAGGGGATTTCACAGGTTCTTGTTAAATTAAATGAAGCCTCTCTTCTTCTTGTGGAGACTGGAGCTTCAGGCATCACGTAACTTACAGTCTAAGTGGAAAGATGAAAAGTGCAATGTGTGGAACATCTGGAGGAGAGGACGTGAGAGTACAGCTTGCCGTGCGCCCCGACGCTAGGCCCTGACGAGCGGAAGCTGAGGGTCTGGGGACTGGGAATAAACTCTTGCTTTCTCTTTTTGTGTCTCCTTTAGTTTCTGCTGAAAACTTGCAAAAGAACCTAGATCAGATGAAGAAACAGATTTCTGATGTGGAACGTGATGTTCAGAATTTCCCAGCTGCCACAGATGAGAGAGACAAGTTTGTTGAAAAAATGACTATATCCTTTCTTACGAGGAGGGAGTTCCTAGGATGCTTCCTAGGAAGGGAAGGAAAACGTCCCAGGGGGAGGACAGCAGGAGAGATCTGGTGATAGATAATTTTTCCTTCTTTAAAAAAACTCTTAAAAAAAATTCTTTTCATTAAATACATAGTTCTTGAAAGCATTCTCATTGTTGTGGTAAGCACACCACTGAAATTCCTCCCTGATCCCTTGCCCTCTGCCCCGTTTCCACTACACACATGTGCACACACACCACACACACACGCATTCTCTTCTCTCTCCACTTCCCAAAGGTAACCACTGCCACTGGACTTCTCATTTTCACCTCATGAGTTTATTTTAAACAAAAACTGTGTTGTGTTGCTTTTTGCACATCCTAGTTCTTAGCCCTGGCTCCACAGCAGGATATGCAGAACCACCCCTTTAATTGCCACCTCCTATTCTGTAGGTGAACCGTGGTTTATGGTTTACCATTCCCCTGTTTGGGATATTTCGATTGCTTCTCGCCTTTGCTCTTACAGACAGTGTCGTGTTGAACATCGTCGTGCCTGCTGGCATGCGTCTCTGTGGGTTCCTCGGGGCTAGCGTGGTGGGTCTGCTTCCTGGCCTTGGTCCTTGACTCCCGGGCCGCACAGCTTCGTGAGGGCCGCACAGGAACAGTATAACAGGCTGCAGATGATGCACTGTAACATGGAGACCCTCTATAAGGAGCTGGGAGAGTACTTCCTCTTTGACCCCAAGAAGGTGTCCGTGGAAGAATTCTTTATGGATCTGCACAACTTTAAGAATATGTTTGTGGTGAGCCAGGGGTACCTGCCGACTGAATCTTTTGTGGACATTTCTCACTTTCCACATTGCTTGGTGTGGGGTGGGCTTATGTGTAAGTGCATGCATGCCCATGTGTTTTGTTTTGTTTTCCTCCACAGCAAGCAGTCAAGGAGAACCAGAAGCGGCGGGAGACCGAGGAAAAGATGCGGCGAGCAAAACTAGCCAAGGAGAAGGCAGAGAAGGAGCGGCTCGAGAAGCAGCAGAAGAGAGAGCAGCTCATAGACATGAATGCAGGTAAGAAGCGGAGAAGGGCTGATGGGTTGAAACAGGCATATTTGCAGGGCTTCTCTGCCTAGAATCTCAAGGCCAGCGAAAACAGCTCATGTCTGAGCTCAGCTCCGGGCAAAAGATTGTTGGCAGCCTTTTACCTCCAAGAGCCTCACGCTGGACTTGAACCTCAGCTCCCCTGCATGCGCATTCCAGCGCTCCATGCTCGCCCCCCTCTCTCTCCTTTGCTAGTTCCTGCGTTATGTCTCATCTCCCAGTGGGTTTGGTATTGCTGTAACACGGACTCTTCTGCCTGGCCAAATGGTCTTCTGGCCCGTTTTTGTTCCGTCTACTACATCTTTCATTCTTTTCCCCAAAATGTTTTCCTGGCCTTGCTCCTGTCTTACGCTGGTGGCTTGTCCTCCCTGTCTGTGTTCACTAAGTAACGTGTGCTCAGTACCTCCGCACAGTTGTACACACTGTGTACACGCATAACTGCGCATACCTACAAGGTTATAAAGGGACTGAACTTCTGGAGCAGGGGGCATGGGAGCTGGCCACTCTCTCTTCTCTTTAGCAGAATTTGTTTCACTACCAGAAGTATGTCTTTGTTGAAACATATGGGCTCAATTACTGGCCTTCTGTTTCCTGTCTTTGCTGCCTTCCTGCTCCCCCCACCCCCCGTCTGCTCCTTCTGTGGGTAGCAGGAATATAGCATACACTGTGCATGGCACTGAGTTGATGCCACCCTTCTTGACCCGGAGGCAGTACGAGCCATCTAAGTAAAGGGCGGGGGCGCATGGGGTAACTGGGTGTTGGGCATTAAGGAGGGCACATGATGTGATGAGCATTGGGTGTTATATGCAACTGATGAATTATTGAACACTACATCTGAAACTAATGATGTACTCTATGTAGGCTAATTGAATTTAAATTAAAAAAAAATAAAGGGGTTCTTAGGGCTGCCAAGTCTGGCAAGCATCCAAGTGCTTTGCTGAGCACAAGAGGCCAGAGCTGCTCTAGCACCTCTTGCTCCCACGGACTTTCCTTTGGCAGCTCCTATTGTGGTAAGGCCGGCCACCTGAAGGAGCTGAACACATTTTTTTCTTTTTTGATACTTTTCTGGGAAGCAGTTCCACAGTTGTTTACTGTAGTTCTATAGAAGCCACAAATTTTGTTCTACTGCTAATGCTGTTGAAGCCCACACCCAGTATCCTTTACCTTCCCCCATTCTCCCCTGGTGGCCAGGGTTTGTCCCCAGGTACTATCCAGGATGCATCAGGGGAAGGTGGAGTCCAGCGGACATGCAGGATGAGGGCTGCACCCTGTTTATCTGGTGGGGCAGCAAGCCCTGGTCCTGGTCCCCAAGGCAAGCAAATGAGGTCGAAATGTAGGTCAGCTGCACTGGTGATGTTCAGCCAGCAGGTGGCGCAGGGAACGGTGAGCCCAGTCCTGAAGCTAGCAGCCTGCGGGCTCCTTGGGATTTCAGTTTCAGATTTCACCACCCAGAGCTGTTGCCATGGAAACAGAGCCAGGCTGGAACAGGGACCCTACATTAACTCTTTATATTCCAGCCAGGATGCTCCCCGTACATGCTGAGCTGGCTTCTGGAAGATGCAGCCACAAGGGGCAGTACTTGAGTAAAATTCAATCTTGATTGGGGCAGGTCTCTCCTTTTTCCTCAGCCCTGCTCTGAAACTGGAACCAGGCTCTCCCTGATGTGTTTGTAGGAATTAGAGTGAAACACTTAAGGATAAAGAGCAAGTGATATTGTTCCATATTAATTTCATAATCTCAATCTCTGTGCTTAAACTGGAATTGGAGTTGGGCAGTTCTGCAATTCTCTGCGCTAGTCCCGGGTGGGATGGGAAGGAAGGTACCGCAAGGAAATATCCCAAGGTTTGCATTGGTTAGCAGGCAGTGAAACCTTTTCTTTGAACCACTGTCAAACAGATGCAAGTAAACATGGGCTGAGAGGCTCGAGGTTGAGCCCTGTATCTGCTCTGAGTCCTCAGCCACTGTGGGCGAGGGGTAAGCCAGGCAACAGTCATACAGTTGGTGTGTGACTCAACACTGTATGCTGCTCAGGCTGAAGAGCTTACATCTCCATCTTTGTTCGTGACAGAGGGCGATGAGACCGGTGTGATGGACAGTCTTCTGGAAGCTCTGCAGACAGGCGCAGCATTCCGACGGAAGAGAGGACCCCGTCAGGGTAAGTAAACAGCTGGAGCCCAGCCTGGGCGTGTGGGGGGGGTGAGGTCTCTCTGCTCCTGGTCCTACTTGTCTTGAGCTGAAGAACAGGTAAAGATGCTCTGAAGGTTTAGGAACTTGCTCACAATAGTCCCTGCGTCAAGAGTGGGTTGTCCAGTCCTCTACCTCCCAAGTTAGAAAGCAGGGACTTGGAGAACTAGGTTTTAGATGTGAAAACAGATCTATTATATCTGATGATGACTGCATTTCTCCCCATTCTTGAAGCAGAAACCTGTAACAAGTGAACCATGGTGCAGGACACAGAGATTTGGGTGGGTGTTTGCGGGTATGAACAAAAACTGAGCTAAACATAAAAGTGTACATTAGCCCTTACTCTCAACTTCACAAGCAGAAAAGATATAGAGAGGAGATTAGGCATCATCATCCTCAGATGTAATAATATAGAGGAGCAATCCAATGGAAGAACCGTCTCTGTCCAAGAATTACCCTGCCCTTGGGGGCCGTTAGCCTGCACTGCTTTTGTCTTCCCCATTGACTCCCCCACAACCTCCTCTCCCAACCCTCTGAAGATTTCAGTGGATTAAGTTGAGTCCGAACCTCCAAGAAGAATTATGGGATAGGAGGACAAATGCTCCAGGCATTAGTGTGGGGAAGGATCAATGGATGAGCCTCCTTAGCAGGCAGCGCACAGTGGCCAAGAGACTAATCCGGGAGAAGGTACTACAGCCAGCACGGTCTCTCGTGGGGGACTGACCCGCACGGTTGTGTGTGCGGAGGGCCCTTTTGAAGTAGGAGCGATGGCTTCTTTCCTGGGTCGAAGGGTGGGAATAACAGAAAAGGCAGTCATGGAGGGTTTCTACTTTTGAGAGGGTGAAAGCTGTGTTCCCTGTTCCCTGGCTGGGCTATTCTGTAGGTCTGTCTGATAAGAGCTTTAAGGTTACTGGCAGGAGGAGTTGTGTAGCTTGCCTTGGCCTCTCTAGGGCTTACAGTACCTGTCATAGCCTGGACAGGGGTTCTCCGGAGCAGGGGTGTAGAGCATGCTAGCCCACATAAACTTAGTGTCCCAAAGGTTGCTGTTTCTGCCCGTACTCTGAATTCCCAAAGGAAAATTCCCTTCTGAGGGCTCTTCCATATGTCTTCAGAACGTTCCCTAAATAGGAGAATCCCTAGTTACAAGTCTTCCCCATTTTCTGGCATCCTCTTGGCAGGCTTTGTAGTGGGAGGAGAGGTGGTTATGATGGGCTTTCCTGGCATAGTGTGTTAAACCATATAGATTGGTGTTTGGGTAGAGAGTGCAGCTAGTAGTATTTCTTTTGTTTAGTTTTTAGAGGTTCTTAGGAGAATGTTTTTTAGCCCCGCCCCCCCCACCATGTGGCCTTACATTAGGCATTTCTAGCCAAATGAAAGTATATTGCTTCTCACTGTTCACTCTCTCAGCTAAATGCCAACCTGCATCCGACTGTTGGTGGGGAATTCCCTTTTTAAGCCTCTTCCTATGAAACTACTAGAATCCCAGATGCTTCCTGTACACAGGCAGCCAGACATCAATGGCTTCCCTCTGCGGGGGAGGCCCCATTCTCTACTTCTTCCCAAGGAGGAAACCAGGACTCAACAGGCAGAGGAAGCAGGGATTTTGTTGGAACATAACCTTTCAGCAGAGGATCTAAATTAGTCAAAGTGCTGTTCCCCGGTGCAAGAAGGAATAGGAGACTGATATTAGGAGATACTGAAGCAGAGAAGCACATACTTTTTAAATTGGTTGCATCCTGTAACCTAATCTTTCTGGGCTGTAGGTTCACAGAACAGGGCTGAAAGTATCTGGGAGAATCTCTCCTGGGAGACCTTTCTGGTTACTCTGGTATGCTGCTTAGGTGGTGCATCCACATGCTGTGAAGTGATGTGGCCTCACGCTTTCAAACATAAAGACTCTATCACAGTCCGAAGAGCATCGGATTAGGTAGAGATCAAAAGACCCAAAGTCAAGTCTAACTCTGATGCTGTCTAGGGTACCTTAGACAAGTTTTGGGGACTCAGTTTTTTCATGAGTTAGACTAAAATGGTCTCTTGGGTCTTTTCCAGCTTTAATAACTCTGTTTTGTCCAGCAGCAATAGAATTAAGAGAAGGCAAGAAAGGGGCTGGACTCAGAAGGCCCTATTCTCAAACTATAAAGGCTGCGGGTTTCCCTCAGTGGCTGCAGGACTTAGCTGGTTCACCCCTTGCTTGACCGCCTCTGACTGTTCCTCGTGGCCAATTGCCTTGAGCCAACAAACTGAAGCACGAGCGAGCAGATCTGCCTCACGGGCCGCCTCAGTCCCAGGGAGGCAGCTGTCGCTGCCTCAAAGACACTGGTCTTGTCCATAGGATTTAAAGGCATGTTTAAAAAAAAAAAAGTCTTCCGGTCTCTGGAGACCTGAGGGAGTGTAGACCGAGTACAGAGTATACAAAGCACCATTGAGAAGCTGGAAGAGGAGAGTTACTATCAGGGCTGGTCATTAAAAGTGACCTGTAAGCTGCTGTGATCTGCAGGGTGTGGGAGGACAATGGTTTGAGTGTCGAGGAGAAGAATCCATGTGATTGTATCACAGCTACTATTTCAAGCTGATGATTGAGTCAGCGTGTGGTTTTAATGACTCAACTTTATCTCCATGTCTGAATTGCGGCCTCTTATATACAGGCCATCTGCTCACTGGGATAAAAGTCAAGGGAAGAAATTGGTCTTTCTCTTCCTTTCCTTCCCTCTAAGCTCCACCTCCAGCAACAGAACCGTAGAGTCTGGAGAGCCTCTAAAGGCCTCCAGTGATTAGCATCTGACCTCCGCATAGAGGAAAGCGATTAAGGCCCAGAGAAGCTCCGGCTGGCCCAGCCCTAAGGGCTGGCTGACGCTAGAGCGAGAACTCTGGCCCCCTTTTGTGATTCCAAGTCCAGGGCTGTTGCCACTAAGCCTCCTTGATGGACAGGAGAGGACAGTGACCCCTCTGTGGAGGCCAGAGGTGTTCTTCCATACCTTCGAGCAAAGAGAGCACTGGACGTGGTACAGGTGCTTCGGGGAGTTTCGAGGACTCCCTGTCTGTAGAAGGGGAAGAGTGTTTCCTCCACCGCCACCTCTTCTCCCTCTGCTTTTGTGAAAATAGGACAGGAATTATAATAGGTGACTTTTAGACGGTAATGAGTTCTTTAGGACAGTAATGACTGCCCCATCTGTCCTAGTTTCCTCTCCCCTAAGGAAGCTTATTAACAAGAACACTTCCTCTTCAGGAGCAGTTTCTAGCCTCTGTTTTATAAATGTCTTTTTCCAAATCATTGACCTTTTTCGAATTCATCTGTACTGGTGTTACATATGGTTGGTGGATTTTGCTGGTGTTTTGTTCCTAGCCCACCCGAACATCTAGGAATCTGGCTTCAGAGAGCTTGACCAGTGTCTCAAGATGGTTCCCTTTTCCCCACAGACTATGAGACCATTCTCTTGTGAGTTAATAACCCTCCCTGATCTAATACAGTCAAATTATTTATCTGCTTCTATGGCTGCTTGTCAATAGTCTCTAGAGAAAGGAGGGGAAAAGTTACTTACTCTGGATTGTTCAAACTGTTGAGTATAATTGTGGCCCTGAAGACAAAGTGGAAACTGGGATTCTTCCATTCTGTTGATTCTCTTTCCAATTCCAACAGGAGCTTTCTCATGTCTGGTTCTGACCTTAGGCCACATCATGGACATCCCCAGTATACCTACTTTCTAGGCTTAAAAGGGAAGTTTTGGTTTTCTCCCCACCTACCATCCACTCTTAGTTTTCATGAAATCGGTAATGTATCAGAATCTTTTGGAATCTAGAAAATGTAGAAACAGTGCTTGATGAGGTACAGCTGGTATCCTCTTAGTTTAAAGGAAGAAGCCAAAGAGAAACAACACAAGACATGCCACACTTGAACTCTGACTTTCCCATGTTGCCCAGGACAGGGGTCTCTGAAGACCCGGTGTTCTTTTTCTTCTGGGGTCTGGAGTCAGAAATTCTTTCAACATAAACACACCCCTTTAGTCACACACAAGTAGTTAGCAATATTTTCTCAACTGCTAGAGACTGTACCGGAACACCAAAGTGACATCAAGCCACTGCCTTCCTGGGCATGAGAAGTCGGGTCCTAGAGAAGGGAGTCCTTCAGAAAAGAGCTGAAACTAAATGGGGCTGAGGAAGACTTTGCTGGAGAGACCAAGAAGATAGAATCACCTACCTGTAGACCTTCCTAGTTACACTCTAGTGGGCTCCTTTTCCTCTCCTATCAGTCCCTGAGGCCAGAGCATGTTTCATAATCCAAGGAGTGGTTTGTGTGAACGGCCTGGAGTCTGGCTCACATTCCTTCCACCTGGAGCCAGATGATGAGCCCTTGTGCTGGTCAGTTAGGGCCTTCACTCTGCCTTCTCCTCTTGTTAGACAGTCCCTTGTGCCCCTGGGAGGAGGAGTTGGAGGAGGAGACCCATACATTGGTAACCTGTGGGCATGCTGTGTGCTCCCTGACCCGCGGGTGGCCTCTGATGTGTGAACACAGTGCTGCTGCGTCACATTTCTGGGGAGCCCGACAGCCCTGCTGGAAAGCTGCGCCTTCCGACCCCGTTTGGCTTCTGCCCTGCCTAAAGCTTCCTGCTGGCTTAAAGGCACAGATGTTCTGGGCGCTTCGTTCACCGCCGCCTCTGGACCTTGCCCTTCCTGCGCGTGTCCCAAAGCTGCCCCCGTCCTGTGGTCTTCCTGTGGGAGCTCGAGGCTCCTTTCACCTGTCCCTGCTTCTTTAAGGCTTAGGCACTGCTTTCTCCATTCATCATTCCCATGACCCAGCAAGTGGGGTTTTTTGAGGTATAAATCAAAAATTCACTCTTTTTAAAGTATATACTTCAGTGGTCTTTAGTATATTTACAAGTTTGTGCAAATATCACCACTATCTAATTCCAGAATATTGTCATCACCCCAGAAAGAAACCCCATCCCCATGAGCAGTCATTTCAGATCCCAGCCCCTGGCAGTCATGAATCTACTTTCTATCTCCCTGGGTGTGCCCAATCTAGACATTTCATAGAAATGGAATCCTAGCACATGTGGCCTTTGTGTCTGGCTTCTTCCAGCCCAGGCAGGCGGCTCTCTGTGCTGTTTGTAGGGCATAGTAAGAGGCAGAGAGCATGAGCTGGGCATAGTCCCAAGAAACTGCCTTTGTGTTGAAGATACGGGGACCATAAATCTGCATTCCGTAAATTAATGTGAGAATCTTAGGGATGGCTCCCAGAAGCTAGACCAGAAACTCATGGATTGATTGGTTCTTCTCTTCCTGTTTAAGATGACAACTGGAGCTTCACAATCCCTTAGCCCACTGGGCTGAGATTTCTTTGTAGGGGCCCGTCCTTGACCCCAGCTCTGCCTTCCCTGACATACCTTTCCTGACCCACCCACCCCCACAGCCACGTACATACCTTGTAGGGCCCTTGGCATGCATATCACACTGCTACCCTTGAAGAGGTGGGAAAGGGCTAGGCATGTGAGTGTGGGGAGAGGGCAGGAGGGCTGGTGGAACAGCCGGGAGAGGGACACGCATGCGATGTCACTGCATGGCTGCTTTGGCCCTCGTTGCAGGAGTCGCCCCAGGCAGCCTGCGGAAGGCCTTCCTCTGCTTGGGACAGCCCTCCCCAGGGCTGACTCAAAATAGTTTGGGCCTGGGAGATTCCTGGAAACTGCCAAGAAAAGAAAAACACTACTCTTTACGAAGCCAGGGTGTATTTAATTTCAACAACCCGGTGATGAGAAAATGCATTTTGAGTACTTGATTTCTCAAGTTTTACACAACAAACTTGAACCCCATTGTGTCTGTCTCGCTATATTCAAACCTGTGCAGTTTCCACACAGGAAAGCAAACACGTGGCTTGCACCCTGCCCTTAGATTCTCTGCACCTAGAAAGTCTGTTCCATGTGTTCTTGGATCTCTGCCCCCCCCCCCCCTTTAAAATACGGGCCTCTCTGGACCAGACGGTGCAGCCCCCTTTGCATGGCTTCAGGCTGAATGTCTGCTACAGAGTCGGAAAGGGATTAGAAATCAGGCCTTCTGTGGACAAGCTCTCTCATGTCCTCTCTTTGCAGCCAACAGGAAGGCTGGCTGTGCAGTCACATCCCTGCTAGCCTCGGAACTGACCAAGGACGACGCCATGACTGCTGCTCCTTCTAAGGTTGCCAAGAACAGTGAGGGAATCCCCACAATCCTGGAGGAAACCAAGGAGTTGGTTGGCCGTGCAAACTAAGCTGGGTCCTGTGGCCACAGCAGCTCCCCGGGGCACCCCGGACTGTCTTGCCCTGCAGCCTGTGCCTAAAGGGTCACGGAAATAGTCCTCTGGGGTGGTTGCTCCCACTACGCTGACCCTTTTACTCTGGCCTGCCGCGCTCTGTGCGTCACACACGCTTCAGCCTGGAGGCCCCCAGGAACGGGCAGGGGGGGAGCGGGGGAGGCCTGAGCCCGAGCCAGCCAGCCCTGGCCGTGTGTGTTACCAAAGCAGGCTCCGTGGTTGCTGCCTTAACCCCAAGTGTCTCCTCTCTGTCACCGAGGCCTTGTCTCAGACCAGGCCCCACCTGCTCTCCCAGCCCCCGCCTTTCCAGTGGGCTTTCATTTCACCTGGGTCAATCTTGCTGGGTTTGTGCTTTTCTTTTGTGGTTTCTCCAGCTCTGAGAACAGCATGGGGCTTGTGAACCTTCGGGCTCTATCCCTCCTTTCATTGCTGTCACCTCTGCTCTGCTCTTCCCTCTCCTGGTTATTGTTATTTATTACTAGTGGTGTGACAGTGGGAGCCATGCCTAGAGAAGTGGGGAGCAAACCCCACCCTTACTGCACCTTCCTGGGAAAGGCCTCCCAGAACAAAAAGGACCTACCTGGACCACTTGATCTATTCCACTGCAGCCAAGAGCCTGTGGGGAGGCAGGGTACAGAGACATTGTGGGACCTGTCCCCAGCCTGCTGCCATGTTTGAGGACCCTGCCTCTGGGAACTCTCTACCCCTGCCCCAGGCTACCCAGCCACGGTCACTCCTCACACCTTCCCCAGAGCTTTGGTGCATCTCATCTGGAGTATGGGCTGTACTGTGACCATCCCAACACCTCACCCTCTGTCTCCAAGGAAATGGGAGGTGGAGCCTCCTGGCTGAGAAATTGTTTTGCAAATGGATCTATTTTTATATGAGATTTTTTTTTTTTTTTTTTAAAGAAAATATTCCTTCCCCCTTCCCCTTCCATAATGTAAGAGGCTCTGATGGCAGGTTCCAGTGACCCTGGGATTTCTCCCCACAGGCCTCAATCCTGAGCAAGACCCTGGACCTCCACGTCAGCCCTAAAGCCTTCTGGGCCCTTGAGGCCCTCTCTCCCATTATCCAGTTTTGGGGCAGGAGGAAGCTCTTCTCTGGTAGAGCTGGACCAGGCCTGAGAATAGTGGGAGCTCTGAGACCACAGAGTTTTTATAAATTTAATATATTTATCAAGCCAAATGTGCAAATGCTAACTGGGCAAGGAAGCACACGAGTGTGGCCACACGGCATGCCCCGCTCCCTTCTGAACAGTGGGCAGGCCAAAACTGTTCAGTAGCCCCCGCTCCAGGAAGCTCAGACTCTTTGTCCTCCTTGTGCTTTTAGCTTCCCACCACAGGTAGGGGGAGAGAATGACACGGTTAGGGCTTGACCCAGAATGGGAGTTGGTGGAGCACAGGGGGACCTTAGGTGACCTAAGGGTTCCTGCAGGGGGCGCTTCAGGCCAGGAACTGGGGTGCTGGTTGCTACAGCTGCCTGTGTGTGAAGGGGCGACAGCAGCTCCTTTGAGCTCTTCCCTGGAAGGTGGGGGGAGGGGGGAGGCTGCCTCCCTGGGTCCCTTCCTCCTCCCTGCTGACATCTGGGGCTTTGACCCTTTCTTTTTTAATCTACTTTTGCTAGGATGCATTTAATAAAAAATTAAAAAAAAAATGCAAACCTGTTTCCCTTGCCTCTTGGGCTTCTGGGATGTCGTCACCTCCAGTGTATTGGGTTTGTTTCCAACTGTTAATAAAGCATTGAAACAGTACCACCTTACCGCCTCCTCTGTGAGTTGAAGCTGTTTTCCAAAGCCCTGTTTGACCTGACAAATCAGTGTCAAAAAGTTGAAGGTGCCTATCGTAGGTGTGCCAAACACCCTGCTTCGGCTTCTGCCCTTGCATTTGTGGGCCCTAAAGAAATGGGGCCACAGTTGTGCCCCACCCCTGCCTCTGCGTTGCTGCCTGGGGGCTTGGCCCCCCACCTCCTCACGCTGAGCAGACTCAGAACAGAGAGCAGAGGCCCGAAGAGGACCACAAAACCATTTGGACAGGCTCTAGACCTGGAAATAAAAGCCTTTTAAATAGCCCTGGAGCCTGGGCAGCTGGCTCCCCATCTCGGTGGGGGCTGTGGGGGTGGGCTGCCTGCCTCCTTCCCACCGGAGGCCACGCGTTTCTGGCTCAGAGCTTTACAGACGCACATACCAATTAGGGGACCAACCACAGCTGCTCACGCGCTCTGCCAGTCTGTGCCGGCCCGGAATAGAACCCAGGCAGCCAGCGCCCCGCCCTCTGCAGCCTGGCTCGCAGAAACAAAACCCTGCTTCCATCGCGAACCGCGCACACCGCCCTTCCTCCCACGCAAGAGAGTCGCCTCCAGATGCCTAGTTGGAAGGCTTGGTTTCCATGACGACAGGCTTCGGGGAGCTGGCAGAACATGTGACCCGGCTCTGAGACGATGCGCAGAGGAAGCCCAGAGACAGCCTCCTGCCACCGTGCGGTTAGGCATCCCCTCACTGACCGCCCCCCCTCCCAGATAACCCCAGTGGGTCTGTGTTTCTGCCCTTCCGCTCCGCCTTCTCCCCTCCTCTGTACTTCCTGCAGCTCCTCTGGCTGCAGCAACCTCGAATCCCACTGTGCTTCAAGGAAGCAGGCAGAGGAGGAGGGGAGGGGAGGACGACTAACTGAAGAGTGAATGGAAAAGCAGGGGGAGGGGGGAAGGGAAGGAGGGAGGACGACCTGGGTCTGCGGGCAATCTCATTTCCTGCACACTTTTCAATCCCCTCGATACCACGGCCCCCTCCCCAGTGTCAGGGATGAACCTTCCGATTTCCTTGGCTTTGCTGCAGGGAGTGGGAAGGTGAATTCCAGATGGGTAAACTGAGGCGCAGGCTATTATTGACTGGGCCTTTGGAGAACCGCCTCCGGCATGCCCTCCCACCCCCATAGTGTTCCCAAACTCACTAGGCAGCGGGGCTGGCGGGGAATGGGCAGAGGAGAATCCACCCTCCTCCGGAGAAGCCCACAAGGGCGCTCGGGCTGTTCATTTTAGCAGGGAAGAGGCGGGAACTGAGGAAATGTCCCCCTCCCGGCTTCCAGCCTTTCCAGCCGGCGCCAACACGCTCCCGCCCGCGCCCCGGAGCGTCCTCTTCCGCCGGCAGACCGGCGCCGGGGCCCGGGGACCGTACGGGAGACGGCGCGAGCACGCAAACGCCACACACCCACACTGCGCTCCGAAACGCCCGCCTCCACAACAGACCCAGAAGCCGATGACACACGACGGGCGACCGATCACCGTCACTTGGACTCTGTTACGTTTGCCCAACAGTACCGCAAGCATCCACAGCCACACCTGACGGACACAGACTCACGAGCAACGACACAAAACCAGGGCGCGCACACAGTCATTGCCTGGCGCTCGCGCCCTTCCTCCAGCACACTCCGCTTAGCTCGCCGCTTCATCCACACATGCCAGCAGCCTCCATCCCTTACACAGAACCGTTCAACCTTTCAGAAGAAACCTTTTAATTGTTTTTTTCAAAGAAAAAAAGCCATATAAATATTAGAGTATAAAACTTGCGTGAGACACAGGAAGGGGACTGAGTGGGAAAGCTACGTGACTATGCGAAGAGAAGCACTTCTAGGAGTCAGTACCGGGGAGGGGGTCGCCGCAGCGCGAGGACACAGCACAAAACACAGCACGGGCCGCCGCGGGCGGATTCAAGGACGGACGGCTGCGCGGAGCCCCCCGCCCACCCGCCCCCACGGAAAAGCACACCGCACTACACTATTGGCTATTCTACACCAGCCGGAAGAGGGAGGGAGCTCTACACTACCGTTGGGCTGGGGTGGGGCTCTGGCGGGACTGGGGCGGGGGCCGATGGGGGTGGGCCGAGAAAGGTCTATGCACAAGGAGGCACTGGGGGACTTTAACCAGGCTCTGGCCACTAGGGGGCAGACGGGGGGGGGCGCTGGGCAGTGGCCTTCACAGAGAAGAAATGGCACCTGGCAAAATGAAGGAACAGAGGCTTGGGGAGTGTGGGGGCCCTGTGCAGGAGCCCTGATCCGGGGCTGAGACTTCCTGTCCACTTGGTCCCGGCTCTAGCTCCATGCCTCCCCAACCTAAGGACCAAGAATGGCCCAGCTGACCCTCCCTTGCTGCTGGGGCCATACTGCTTCTTCTACCAGTGGCACCTCTGGAGTACCCAGCACCCACAGAGGGCCCTCTGACCTCTCCAGGGGACCTGGTGCTAAACATCCGCAAACCTTCCTTTGACTGTAATGCCAGCTGAAATCCACTGATGCTAAAAGCTCAGCCCAAAGTTTACCGCCTTTGTGTGGTAAACGAGGGTCCAGCCTGGTCCTTGGTTTATGGCTGGAACTGGGGATCTGGCCAGTACCCTGGGGACATACAGAGCCTTCTACAAGACCCTGATAACCGGTAAGTCAAGCTTTGTCCATCCCCCACATCCACACCCTTCCCTTCTTTATCTTGCCACCCCATACTGTCTTAGAACATGCAACGGAGTCTCTCTTTTGGGGGCAGGGGAAGTCACAGCATGCAGTGGGAACATCAAACAATGAAAAACAGAACAAAAGACTGGTCCCGAGGGCTTTGGGAAGAGGCATGGTAGCAAAGTGCCCTCCCTAAATCCAGCAAGCATCAGTACCATGGGAATCGTCACCATGTCTCCCGAAACTTGAACTTGGTCTTGGGCTCTGGAAGGAGATGAAAGGACTGGCACCAAACCATGCTTTGGGGGAAGTTGGAGAATTGGAGAGGCCTACAGGTTATTATGCCCTTCCAACTCTTCAGAACTATGAGCCTTTTTAGGTCACCAGGTACCTCAACACCCCAACCACCTTCCTTGAGAAAGAGGGGCCGCTGAGGGGGGTGGGGTGGGTTGGGCAGGAGGGAGGCAGGGGATGGTAGATGGGCCTGATTAAATTTGGAAGATGGCAGAGTTCAGCTGTAACTAAAGGGGGTGTGATAAATGGTGTCTACACGAACCCCACTACCCCCATGGGCACAGCAATTGATTGGACGGGGGTTCCCAGCAGAACTCCCTTTGCATATTCAATCCCTTGGGGGCAGACAGGGGGGTGTTGACTGGGCACTTGTTTCTGTTTCCCAAGGGGAGCATGGCCTGGATCCCTACCAGTATCTTGGGGGTGAGCCCTGAAAATCCGAGGCCTGGGTACAGGTAAGGAGAGACTGGGCTGGTCGGGGAGGGCAGCTGCCCTGTGGCTCTGGGCCCGGCCTCCACGTTACTTCTTCTCCTTTTTGCCTGACTTCTTCTTATTGCCATTGCCACCGGCAGGGGCCTTGCCGTCTCGCTTGCCGGCCGCGCTGGTCAGCGTGGCATTGCTGCCCGGGATGTAGACGTTCTGGCGGTAGTCGGGCACGTGCTGCAGGGTAAACTGAGGCCCGTAGCGGGCACTTAAGCCCATGGTGCCGGTGCCCCCTCCCAGGGTGGAGCTCCCATCAGCAGCTTCTGCAAGAGACAGAGGAAGGTCAGGAGCTAAACTCTGGGTCCCCAACAGTCACTCTGTTAGAGCACAGCCAGTTAATGAAGGCCTGCCAAGCACCGGCCCTGACCCCACCGAGCCCTGGGAATGTCCTCTCTCTTCACAAGGGGCAGATGTAAGTGAGACTGCCCTGATTTGATTCCCAGCTCTCTTACCTACTAACTGATTTGGGGCAAGTCTACCTAAACTCCCCTATGTCTCCTCAGGTTTCTGATCTGTGAAGCAGGTTAAAAGTAGCATCTACCTCTTCAGGTTTTGGTTAAGGCTGACCAAGATTATGATGTATATAAAGCACCCAGAAGAGTGCCTATTACACGGTAAGGGCTTAAAACATGCTGGCTGTTACTTTTCTCAGGGCTGAGGTAAAAGCTCTCAAATCCTTGCCCTAACCCTTCTCCAGGGAGCCCCTCTGGCAGCCACACCGATCAAGGGCTCCTGGGGGGCTGTAACCAGGACCTGCTGGTCCTCCTATCCTCGGGCCAGCGCCCACAGCGCGGGTATTGGGCAGTTCTGTAGTTAGTGTGGGCTTAGGGAGTGCACGGGCACGACGGCTTTCACCTCCCTAAGACAACCCAGCGAGATAGGGGTATTTATCCCCACTTCACAGATGAGGAAAGCAAGGCCCAGAGAAGGTGAAAGACCAACTCAAAGCCCTAGCAGGCGGCACGGGTTAAAGCCGGGGCGGCCGCGTGTATTTAAGCATCCACTGTCCACTGTCGGGCGGAGTCACCACCGCCCCCAGCAGCGTGGACCCCGTCCCTCTGCGGAGAGCGGAGCGGGAGGGAAGGCAGGGCTGAGCAGTGTTCTAGGAGGCGAAGAAGATGCTCCCGGGAGCAGCCGGCGGAGGAACGATGCAGACACAGGCTCACAGTTTCAGGGCTGGGTGACACCAGAGGACACCTTGAGCCCAGCTTCCCACTGGGCCCAAGAAGAAATGGGCTCTAGGGAAGTAAAATGCGGGCTCCAGCTCCACATCACCCTGGGCGCTTGCTGGAAAAGGAGACTCAGAATCTGCATTTTAACAAGATTTCCAAGTGATTTTGATGCACACTGAAGGTAGAGAAGCACAGACTCGCTCACCTCACTGGGTTTTTGCGAGGCTTAAATGAGACAATGCTTGGTGCGCGCCCAGGCACGTGCTGAGTGCTCCGTGGGAGGCGCGGCCGCGTCAGCCTCACGGCCACACGCGGTGTGCGCGACCTCCACTCCACACGCTCCCCGACTGGGCCGGCAGGCAAACCAGGACTTCCCACGCCGCAGCCTGAGCTCACCAGGGCTTCTGCGGGACTCGTCTGGCAGCGGGAAGGTTAAAGCCCCGGGAATTCCCGGGCCCGGCTGGCAGATGAGCTCTGCTCCCGGCCTCCCTTTACTCCCCCCTAGACCCTGGGAGTGGGCAGAGAGGGTGACTAAAGCCGGGGAGGCTGACTAATCCTGGGACACTAACCAGGGATTGAGAAACAGACTGGAACTATTTTCTAGACCAGCACCGGGGGGGAGGGGAGAGGAGACAGGAACCGAGACAGGAAAGAGGAGCCCCCGTCTTTCTGCTCCCCCCCCACCCCCCACCGCTCCAGCGCTCAGGTTTCTACAACCTCCATTCCAAGTCCCAAATCCCAGGATGTGAGGGCTTTGGGGGCATGTGTGAAAGAGAGGCTGGGTGGGAGGGAGCAGCTGCCCACTTCCTTCTCTTTCTCTAGGCTGGTCCCCTCCCCCAGCCCCTTCATTTCACGGACTTTTCCATGTTTTCCCTAATTAACTCCAGGAGGGAGCCAAGCTCACCCTCCCCTCCAGCATCCCTCATCCAGCCTGGGAAGGGAGGGGAAGGGGGCCCAGATTCGGCTTCAAAGAGCTAGGATTCCAGAGTGATTTAGGGGCTAAAGGGGAGACTTCAGAAGCTCCAGAGAGAGAGAGAGAGAGAGAGAGAGAGAGGGAGACACACACACACAAGAAAGGGAAATAAATGGGGAGAAACAGGAAGAAGGGAGGCAGGAACAGAAGGGCATGAAGGGCTTGACTGGGTAACTAGAGGCCAGGCCCACCCACATCCTGCACGCCCCTAGACCTCTAAGGAGCACCCCAAGGGGGTGGAAATGACAAAGCCAGTTGTTGCCACCTCTCACCAGAAGCACAGGCCTGACGTTGGCCCACGTCCTGTGGGAGGGGGGCACTGAGGTTGGGCTGGACCGAGAAGGGAGATGATGTGCAAACCCAGTGCCTAAGACAAAAAAGGCTGACACGTGAGTTCCTTCTGGTCAGCTCGGCCACTAAAAATACTGCATGACCTTGGCAGAGGCCCTGCATGATTCAGGCCTCTGTTTCCCCGTCTATAAATCTGAGAGGGAGAAGGTAGACTGTAGACTAATTCTATAGAAGGCTCTGGCCTTCTGTAGAATCAATTCTTCAGTGGCCCCTCCTTCTACTCCTCCAACACACACAGTGAGCAGGGACCGAGATCTTTTCTATTCCTAAGAGAAACATTCTTTTTTTGGAAGCAAGAAAGGGGTGCCTGGCTGGCTCAGTCAGTGAGCATGCGACTCCCGATCTCAGGGTTGGGAGTTTGTGCCCCGTGTTGGGTGTAGAGATTACTTAAAAATAAAATCTTCAGGGCGCCTGCGTGGCTCAGTTGGTTAAGCGACTGCCTTCGGCTCAGGTCATGATCCTGGAGTCCCGGGATCGAGTCCCGCATCGGGCTCCCTGCTCGGCAGGGAGTCTGCTTCTCCCTCTGACCCTCCTCCCTCTCATGCTCTCTCTCTCTGTCTCATTCTCTCTCTCAAATAAATAAATAAAATCTTAAAAAAAATAAAATAAAATAAAATCTTCAAACCGAACCAAAGCAAACAGCTCTGGCATGAAGGTGGGAGCAGCTCTGGCCTCCTCTCCAGCTCCTGGCACCCGAACCCCCTCCCCCCTTTGCCCTTCCCACCCCAACCCAGGGCTGAGACAGCACCTCCGGACAGGGAGGCCTGGTCAAGCTAGACGAGGGCCAGTTGAACCACAAACCAGAGCCTCCTTGAAAACACACTTCCCCCCCAAATGTTTATTTAAAAAGCCTCCCAAGTGTACTTACTTTCCTTCTTACTTACTCCCCCTCAGCAGGCCCTAGCGCCAGGCTGGGCTGGACTCCAGGACCCTTTCCAGGCTTCGGGGCAGGAAAGCGGGTGTGAAAGTTGAGAGTAGGGCCTGACCCTGCCACTTCAACCCTCTGGGTCCATTCCCCAAGGCCCAAGCTTATGCTCAGGTCAGCTGCTGTGTGGGCCAGGGGGCTGGAGCCCTGACAGGGGAGCCAGCCGGCAGTGACCCAGGAAGTTTGTGGGCCATAAATACTGATTCCATTTCTGTTTTTTAAATCTGGATTCAGGCCAAAAAGCCTGCTTCCTGGCCTTAACACTAAAAACCACAACAGCTAAATATACCTGACTGTCTGTTTACTTTCCTCAAGAACCTGACTTGGCATCTCCCAGACCCACCCGCCTGCCTCTTTCATACTCAGTATCTGGCCTCTCCAGGAGTACAGCCCCCCCAGACCTGGGCCAGCTCTGTGCCAGAAGGGTGGCCTCCCCTGTGACTTCCCTCTTCCTCTCCCCCTTCACCTACACGGGCCTGGCTTCACTCAGCCTCACAGACATCTGGGAAAGGCTTGCCAGATTTAACAAAAATAAATGCAGTGTGCCCGAATAAGTTTGAACTTCAGATTAAAAATGAGCCATTTTTTATATAGTATGTCCCAGTACTAATGTTTGGGGCCTACTTATGCTAAAATACTATTTGTTGTTTACATGAAGTTAAAATTAACTGGGCATCCTGTATTTTATCTGGCACCTCTAGTCTGAGAGTAAAGCACGACAGTAAGAGGAGTTCAGTCTCTGCTCCTACTCAGCTAAAGGGAAATGTAGGCTGCATCTAAAGGCAGACGTGGTCACTGCAGAAGAAAAGGCATGAACCGGGAGTCGGACTGCATTAGAATCACCCATCTGCAACTCTAAACAGGGACCTTGGAGCAAGGGATTTCTCAGTTCTCTCATCTGTCAAATATAAGTAAGTAATCACAGACAGGCCTTGCAGAGCTGGTAAGAGGATTAATTGGTGCGATACCCATCAAGTTGGCCAAGCATGTGCCCGGGACGGTACACAGGTGCGATTTTAGTGATCACTGTTCTGATTCTACCTGGTTCTCTACCAGCCCTCCGCGCCTGCTAGAGGCCAGGCCTTTCACTCCACTATGTAAGCCCAGTGCCTTCATCCTCTGACAGCCTCCAAGGAAGCCTAGGATTTGCTGCTCCTGCAACTAGTCCTTATTAATAGGCATCATTCTAATTCAGCCTTCTACGGGTCAATAAGGATAAGAATTAATCAATTTCAGCCACTGCGTACCGTGCCCTTACTCTGTCATTACTGTGCTAAGGCCCTATGTTTGGCCCTCCCAACACTGTAGTAAGATCTGTCAAAGTACCCGATTTATAGTCAGTGAAACTGAGGCCCCCAGGGGCTGAGTGCCTTCCTTGAGGACACACAGCTAAGCATGGGTGCCAGGATCTGAATCCGGGTTGCCCTGCCTCCAAAGCCTGTGCTCCTAAGTACTAATATCATCCTGGTGTTCTGTTTCCCCTGCTCAGGCTGCTTTTGACTCTTCGGGGACAACAGTCATCGGCTGAATCTCTCTTGCACGTGAAGTTCTTTGTTAGCCCTCTAGGAAAATCAAAATCCTGCTCTGCAGGTGGGGGCAACAAAAAAGAGAAGGGGTCTCACAGGTCCAAGTGCATTCTCTCACACCCACTTGCATGGATGGAAGGCTTGCGTGTGCCAGGCCCACAGCTTTGTTGTCTACGGAAGCATCTCATGTAGTCCTCACGACAACCCCCTGGAGGCCACTGCCTCCATTTTCTTGGCTGAAGAAGGGTTAGTGAGATTAAGCAAACGGATCAAATTCCCAGAGACAGTAAGTGGCAGAACGAGGGTCCCACCTATGCTGTCCCCTGCTGAAGCTGGACTCTTAACACTACCGCCTACACCCCCTCAATACATCTTTCCTTTCCCACTCCCCTCGAGGCATCCCGGGACCCTCAGCTGTTTCTCCACCTGGCTTTCTATCCAGGAATGAGGAGTCCCCTCGGAGCAGCTGAAAGATCCAGAGACGCCAGGCAGGTGGATGGCCAGTCTTGAGGCCTGGCGGCTGTGGGACCACCCCAAACCCCACACCCAGAGGAGCACAACTCACCACTGGCAGAGGCCAGGATCATGGCCTGCAGCATCTCTGTGTCAAACTGGTTGTTGGGCCACGTGCCGGTCTCATCGCCATTCTGGGAGCTGCCGAAAGAGTGGGGTGGTGGTGAGTACAGCCTCTGGGGCCAGCCCAGGCCACGCCCCTCCTGTCCTCTCCCAGGGAACCCAGATCTAGCACCCTGGGTCTCCGTCCCATGCAAAAAGATGGCCCGTAGGATCGGAACATGTCATGTTTGCAAACCCTTTGGAAAAATTCCTCTGCTGAGCACACTTGCTTGCCTTGCACCATCTATAAAAATCAAACCTTTTCTGAGGCACTTCCCTAATTCCTCAAGCTCCCTCTCACAGCAAATCCGGTATGGACACTGTTCCCTAGAGTGCCAGTTCCCAACCTCTGCTTTGGTAACATGAATAAAATTGGTCAGAGGGGATGCCTGAGCCCACCCGGACCAGCCCCGGGGGCGTCCGCGTGGCAGCCCCAGCGGCCCTTCTCCTGGTGTTGTAGCTGTGTGCGGTGGGGCAGGGTCTGCCTGCCTCCCACTGAGGCACCTAGTTACCACCTTTAGACACTCCAAGCACTGAGGAAAACATGAGGTGCTCGATAACTGTTAAAAATGCTAACCTCTAGAGGACCTGAAGGAATTCCAACCCAACTTGGATTTTTCCCACAGTGACTATTTCCCTGCTTTGTTGGAATTTGGAAGTAGGACATTTTTTCTGGGTTTTTTTTTGGGGGGGGCACCCTGACACACACACACAGTCTATTAGGTGATCCTTGGCACCCTTTGGCACCCAGAGTTCCTCAATAAATATTTCTTGCCTGAATGAATGGGAAAAAATCCATGGAGAGAGTTAGGTCACTATGAGGGAAGGATTTGGCACCAGGGGAGTGGCTGCAGGGCAGGCCTTGAACACATGGTGGGGGAGGGGGGAGCACAGGAGAGTGAACACGAGTGAGCGCGAGCAAGAGCACGTCTGTGCATTCTGTCATGGTGGGTGAGCACAGCCAAGAAATGCTTTACAGTTTTTCCAAGTTCTGTCCCTGCCTATGGTTTCCCCTGCTCTGGGACCCCCCAGCCCCAGGAAGGTGGACTTGGGCTCAGATCAGGGCACAGCTGCAGTCACATCAAAGGGAGAGTTAGGGAGAGTTAGGGTTGAAGGGAAAAGTAGGAGGCTCGTTTCTCTCTCAGAGTGAGAAGAGGTGGAATGCTGTGTCCACTTATTCAACCGACATTTACTGAGCAATGACTGTGCACCAGACCCTGGGCTAGATACTGGGGTTATAGTTGGGAACATGACGGAAATAGTTTGTCTCTATGATGCTCATGGTCCATATTGAGAGGCTGACATTAAATAATTACACAATTATTTAATCGTGACTGTGACAAGTGCCATGAGGCCAAGAGCACGGTGTAGGGGGAAGTCTTGATTTAGCAGGGGCTAGGCAGCTCACTCAGTCCAGGCTTCCCTGAGGAAAAGGGACATTAGAAGACAGGCAATTTAAATTGGGAGAAATTTCCAGGTGATTTGCAGGACAATTCCAGCGAAACGAAAGTAGGAAGGATGACAGAAAATCACCACCTTGTAACCAGCAATCATCAGTGAATACTAAAATATTAAAAGTGGCAGGTTGTTGCACAGTCTCAAATACCACTCACAGAGTACTTATTAATCAATTATTTAAAAATATCTTTGTAATGGAGAGATCTGGAGATACCACTTAACTAAGTGAACACCGTGAGTATCACTGACAGCTGGACAGACGGACATGAAATCATTCCCCATGTAATGCAGTGGGAGGGTACACGGTGTCGCATGGGCAGTATTCCTACCAAAACTGTCAACCTGCTTTCACTGTGAGAAAATGCAAATCCAGATTGTGGGACATTTTAAAAGACAACTGGCTTGGACTCTAAAAAATGTCTGTCATGAAAAACAAAAAAGGTAAGGAGGCTGTTCTACATTAAAGGAGATGAGAGAGAGATGGCAAGCAAATGCAGTTCATGCTCTTTGATTGAATCCTAGGTTTGAAAAAAAATACCAGAGGTGTGGCTGGCTCGGCCTGTAAAGCCTGCAGCCTTAGAGTCATGAACTCAAGCCCCATGTTGGGTGCAGTGCTTACTTTAAAAAACAAAAAACAAAAACCACAAAAAACCACCAAACAGGTTAAAAAGACATTTCAAGAACATTTACGAAAATCTGCTAGTGGACTAAATATTTTATTGCATTAGTGTTAAATTTCTCAAACGTGATCATTCTTTTATGGTTTGTAGGAGAATGCTACTATTATTAGGAGTTATATACTGAAGTTTTTCAAATATTATGTCGTCTGCCACTCTCAAATGGTTCAGGAAAAGAAAGTTTAGTGTGTGTGTGGAGAGAGAGAGAAAAACAAATGTGCAAAATATTAACAATTGATTAATCTAGGTAAAAACAGTATTTCCATGTTCATCACACTATTTTTGACAAGTCAACTTTTTGACAAGCTTGAAACATTTCAAAGTGAAAAACTGGGAAGTAAAGTGAAGTATCTAGGAGAAGGTGTAGTGCTGGGGGAGAGCGCTTTCCAGTTAGAGAGAGTAACATGGCCCAAGCCTCTGAGGCTGCGAAAAGCTTGGCCAGTTCAACAGACTAAGGGAAGCCAGTGTGGCTGCCCCAGGGGGAGGTGGTGTCAGGGGCTGAGGATGTAGAAATGGACACTAAAGATGTTGGTCTCATCCTAAGAGCTCTGGCAAGTCACTCAGGTGTTTAAAGTGGGGGAATGGGGGGGTGTCACGATGGGATTTAAGTCTTTAAAGATTACTCTTGCTCCTGGGAGAGGACCAAGGGTTAAAGGTACCTTTGGGAGGACAGGAGCCCAGGGATGGGGCCTCAGTCAACTCTGTCTCTGTGGAAATCCAGGGGTCTTTACTTGCAGCCCTACTGAGCTGTCACTGGGCCTGCTAGAGGGCACAAGGCTGAGGCAGATGAGCTCATGCCTCGATGAAGAGCCTGACTGGGATGGAGTTGGGAGAACAAGGTCAAGGAGGGGAAACAGAGAGAAGGGCTCCGGGGTGAACAACAGCATCAGATACTAGGTTAGGAAGATGCCCTGCGGGGACTGGGTAATGGTGTTGAGGGAATAAAGGTGAGTGAAGGGGTGGGCCTGGAACCATGACGGGCTGGGCTCTGGGGAGGATTCTTGGGCAATGGTTAAAGGCTGGAGGCTAAGCAGATGAGCAGGCTGCCAGCTCTGTGAAGCTGGGCACGAGGTAAGTGGAGGGGGAGAGACTTCTTTTTGAACAATTTGCTGAGAGCTTCCTATTCTCTGGGTTCTGGGCTGACTAAATTACATATAATTTAGTTGTATATATAACTTGGTTGTATATATTTAGTTTATATACAGTTTATACTTAGTTTATATACAGTTCAGTTATAGCTTAGGTAGCTCGCCTATTTGAGCCTCAGAACCACCTGCAGATAAGTGTTACTATGATTCTCTCTCTTTTCCAGCAGATAAATGCAGGGCTCAGAGGGGCTGAGAGACTCCCGAAGCTGCATAGCTGCTCACTGGCAGAACTGGAACCTGAAGGGGCCTCCTGTGATCCTGAAGCCCATATGCTTATACCCGGCACTGCCCTGGGCTTCCCCATGGAGGCCTTGGAGCCCCTGCAGCGGGGAGAGGGGGCTCCTCCAGGATTTAGGAGACGGTGAAAAATAAAAGTGCAGGCGATGGACTACCTCTAATTGACCATTTTCCAAGCATCTCCTATGTGTCAGCGCCTGTGGCAGGCCCTAAGACTTAAGAGTTGAGAGACGGCATTCTTGCCCTAAGGAGTCTGTATTCGGGTGTGCTGGATGGGGGCGGGGGGGACGTCCCAGAGGCTGGGCTGTGGAAAAACAGCTCCCTGTAGCAGGATGCAAAAAGGGAGAAATCCGGGGACATCCCCTCTGACAAAAGCCTGGATTTAACTGTGTTAAAATATAAATACATATGTATTTTTTGACATAGTAAAAGCCTGTCAGCCTTTTAAAATACACATCCTATGTCCATATGAGGGGCTGTTAGGCAACAATTACATTCTGAACATTTTTTTCCTGCCACGGGGAAATTCTCGTGGTATCCTGCAAAGAGAACACAAAGAGGTGATAATGCTGATGGAGCTCAATTACTGGGGGGAGAAATATACCACCTCACCGGGAATAAGAGTTCTTAATATTTTGTGAACAAGTTTGTGAACAATTTATTTAGGTGAATCAGATTAAAAAAAAGACAAGACACCAGTGCATGTTGTTTGAGTGCACAAAGAAAAAAGTTTAGAAATAGACATATGAAAATATTAAAGAGCTTAAGAGATTTGAGACACTCAACCAAATACAAAATGTGGGCCTTAATTTGGGTAAGTGCACAAATGAGTTAACAGAGAGACATATAATCGGGGAAATGTCAATATAGACTGGATTTCTGATAATACCAGTTTATTAATATATTATTTAGTATTAATGTATTATTAGTTTATCAATATTACTGTGAGTGCTTACATGTTGGAAAAAAAAAAAAAAGAACTGTCTGTTAAAGACCATGAAGACTCAGATGAAATTATATGAAGGCTGAGATCTGTTTCAAAATAGTTCAAGGGGGTAACAGGGTGGAGACCCAAGTGAAACAAAGTAGGGCATTAGTTGGAGCTGGACATTGGGATCACAGAGGTTCATTAGACCATTCTACTTTTGTACAGATTTGACAATTTCCACATTCAAAAAAATGTTATTGGGGGGGCTCTTTGGGTTGTGAAATTAGAGTGCTTTCTCTTCTAATTTTTTCCTCTATTTCTCATGCTTCTATATCGAGCGTGTATTTTTTTATAAGCAGCAAAAAATAAGTTGCTACTTGCCTGCTGAGTGACGGCCTAAGCTGGGGGGGAGCAGGGCGGGTGTCTCTCTGAGGAGGGGAAGTGGAAGGGGATGGTGGAGCCATCAAGGGAGAACAGAGTGGAGACCAGGAGAAGCTAAATGGAGACTCTCCCCTCTGTGCAGAGACTGGGAACAGCTGCAGGGTGGAGCCTGGGTTACAGCCTGAGAAGGGACAAGTGGTTTGCTGGGTTCAGCACTTGAGGTAACAGCTGCCAGGACAGGAAGCCAGAAGGGTGACTTGAGAAGGGACACTGGCTGGAAGGAAGAGCACCTGGCAAGCAGGGAACTTCACAACTTGTCTTTCTCCCTTTGGTCTAGGCAATGTGACCCAGCACTGACTTGAACTTGGACTGGGTTTACTGGAGAACTCAACAGCAGCCCTGCTCTGAAGCTGGTGTGCCAGTAGCCAAGATGGTAAGGAGGAAGTGGAGCAGAGAAGTGGTGGAGGGCCGGAACCAGAGTTAGGCTGAACAAGAGAAATCTCCCCTCTTCGTCCTCTCACTCCAATTGACTCACCAGAATGGCAGCAAAGAAAGAATTCCCCGTCAGTCTGCTGATCCTGAGAGGCCTCACCACAGGGCCTTTGCATATGCTCTTCCCTCCTTCCTTCAGCTGGTTATTTTATACTTAGCCTTCAGATCTCAGCAACACCTCATTTCCTCTTAGATTTCCCTCTGCTCCCAGACCTGGTCAAACCCCTATTTTATGCTCTCACCACCAGGTACTGCTCTTCATAGCACTTGGGATAACTGCAATCTTACACTTATTTTGTATTTTGGGTTAATATTTGCCTCACTCAACATATGGTAAACTCCTCAAGGACCGGGAACAGGCCTATTTTATTACCTCCTACACCTAGAATACGACCTGGCCTCCAGGAGGTGCTTACTAACTATGGAATGAATGAAGGAGAAAAGCTGCAGTTGCTGGACTGAGCCCTTAATGTTCATTTCATCTGGGCCATTTCGGAATTCCGACAGTAATGTGTGTCCCATCCCCCTCAAGTTAACTAAGGAAGGGAACCTTCTCTTACATCTCCCCAGGAGCTCCTATGTGTATTTCAGGCCACCAAGTCTCTCATTTGATGAAAAGGGACTTGAGGCAGGGGTAAGGTGCTCAACCCAGAGGGCACATCACAAGCAGTCTATGGGCCTTCCAGGGGCAGCAGTGAATTCTGCTCCAGGACCAGTACACGGTCTGGGGTGGAGGTGGGGGGTACAGGGTCCACAAGCTGCCCAGTGCTTCTCACCACCTCAGCTCACTTCCTCCTGGAGGCTTTCTCTACACTCACATGAACTTGCTAAGATTTGCAACTAGACATTTTTAGTGCGATTTGTTGTCAATTTTCTGTCTCACCTGCTGGCCTGGAAGTCTTTGAGTTCAAAGATGATGTCTGCTTGTTCATTCTTGTAGGACAGTGTTTAGAACAGGGCCTGGCTCATAGTAGAGGCCCAATAAATAAGTGATGAATGAATGAACACGTGAGTGAACACATGAATGACCTAACAAATAAGCGACAGAAAGGCTGGCAAGGCCACTAGGGCAAAACAAGACAGATGGGGTCAAGGGAGGGGCAAGGGCAGTCCAAGCCATCTGGCTTGCTGCCTCCTAGGGCCCTTCTAGGAAATGTCCCGGGTTCTGGATACATGTGCAGGACTGCAGGAGGTGGAGGCTCCACCGCATACCAAGGTCTCCTGGGTCCTTGTGGCAGTGCGTCCTCACCATCCAGGCATGTGGGGACATGTGGGCAGTAAGGGCCCGCCCAGCAAGGAGGCAGGGGAAGGGGGCCTAAGCTCTGCCCCCTCTCTCTCTCCTGGGTTCCTTGGACTCCTCCAGGCTCCTGACTTCTAACAGGGAGGCCTGGCCCCGAGCCCACCCCACTCCCCTCAGACCAACTGAAGGTCTTTCTACAGCTTCCCTCCCCACCACCCGCAGGGGGTTCCTGTCTCAGCAGGAATTCACACTGGATTGAAATGAGCAGCTGGGGCAGCCGGGATGAGAGAGTGTGGTGGTAAGC